TGTCTCTCTCACACCTGAAGAAGGCTCCACGGCCGAAACGTTGTGTTCTCTTTCTTCTTTTTTTTCAGCATGGAATAAACCTATTACTTGTTCCTAAGAAAAAGGTATACATACTGTAGATATAACTGCAAACAGACCACAGAAGTGACTGAAAGTAACAGTGTGTAGGTATTAAAGTACTTGCACATGTGGGAGGGACTCTCTCCAATAGACGTCATGTTGATAGACCTCTTTACCATTATTGTTTGCAAGCCTGACGGACTCTGGAATGAAGCTAAATTCCATTTTATTTGTCCTACGCTGTGGACAGAGAAAACATCTTCCTGAAGTAAAAGTTCAAAAGGCAGATGAAGGATGTTAGATGACTCTTCAGTGACGGCACAGGCCTGCCTCGGAATCTGCTAATCACTGGAATTTAGAGTGGAAAGCATTTTCCTTTGTTCTCATCAACTGAAACCTGCCTGTTACTATAAATATTATTTTTAAGTCACTTAAGTCTGGAAGAACAAAAGCTTTGCCATGAATGTATATACAGGGAAGACACAAAACAAAGTGATTACTCAAATCATGTGCTTTCAATTTCATGCACTGCCTAGTGTAATTGCTGGTATCTTTTCTAAATAAGAATTTGCTCTTCTGTTCTGTGTGTTTTAGAATAATGAGCTGCCCGCTGACCTCACAAAAAACGAGCGCATTCTGAGGTTGTTACGGACAAAAGTCCCACACAGACCCAGCTGATGACGCTTGGCCTTGACCAGGGACTTTGGAAGAAAAGGAACGCTGAAGTCCTGTCATTGAAAGTCTCTTAAACACGCAAAAGCAAGGATCACGCAAAGGGCGATGTCAGTCATCGGATTTTGGTGCTTGCTTTCAGAACAGCTTAAGGAAGCTTGTATTAATAGCCATAACATTAAAAGCCAAGGAAAGAGATGTGAAACATGTGGAATGAGATGAGAAACATCAGCTTTCTGCAAGTCGGGATTTCTGCACACCCCTTTCCAGAGGAGATGCTATCTACAGTATGCTACACAAATCTCAAAAACCTTTTCCCCTGGTGCTGTATATTCAGAAATATTTTGCAAACTCAAGTGCATTGTTTGTAATAAAAGTATTCAACTGTATGTTTGTGGAGTAAAATACTTTAAAAAAATGACCAAAGATATTTCAAAGAGCTGTGATTATAAAGATGTTTGATACACTTGGTAAACGGCTAAGGGCATCTGTTTACGTGCCATTTGGAAACGTGGGAAACATATGGCACCGAACTGTGGTAAGGAGTGTATAGCTCAAGATACGATATTTACAAATTAGTTCAGAAACATTGAAATGGTGCTCTGGAAATGGAGAGGACCGTGCTGTGGTGAGTTAACCAGTTCTTGGTCAAACTCAATATAGGCTTTGATTGACTGTCATGCTGGAGTGTCGGATGTCCAGATAAGCTTGAGGACAGGACAGGACCAGGGCTTTGTCCAGAAGGTGCTGGCCATTGCCTGGTACTACCTGGGTGGATGGAGTTTGTGATTTCCCTGATCCCCCCAGGGGCCCTGGTGCCCGGAGGCGCAAAATAACCACGCAAGCTCTCGCCCTGTTTCAGAGGGGCCGTGCGTTCTCTCCTTGTACAGGCCAACTATAACACTCATGAACATGTGCAAAAACCTCAGCTTCCTGGGTTTTCCTACTGCCATTCCGACGTGTGGCAAGTCAGTGTCCTCTTTTTGTGGGTCACCCGCACTAGTTGCTTCTCCCTTACAATTTGGCCACGAGCGCTACATGCATGGAGCCGACTTTGAATGCCTGTTCTTTACCACTCATCTCACACACGTGGCGGCAGGTTATCCACTATCTGACAGGCCTGCCACAAGCCTTGAATTTCTCAACAATGGGCACTACTGTGGAAAGTGGTGGGTATGGCTTTTTTGGTGGACTCTTTTATAGTCACCCCGCCAACTTGTGGAGCTAAGAGAGCATTTGCCTGCAGGCTTTGGGGAGCTTAACCCTGACAACACATGGTACTACTGTACATGAATGTCAGCTGTGTGTTACCCCCTTCTATTCCCCAGGGAAACAGGAAACCTTCAGAAGCTTCTATTTAGTTCCGGGTTTCGTTGCAGTCCCAAATATTTATTTTACATTTGATTTCTGCACTCATAGAAAAGTACTGCTAAAAAAATGCTGTGTGAAATAGAATAGTTTATGCAATTAAAAATGCTCGTGAAAATATGAGCTTCCAAACGTCTTGAAACGTTAACCTTGGGAAACAAAATGTACTGTGCTTTGACTGATGTTACTAAAGATGATCTGCTTTCAAAAAGCACCATTTACTTCTTCAGCTAGCAGTAGCAGCGGTGTAAGTTACAAACCCCCCACCAGAGGTCAGTATTTTTCTGTATATATGCTTCGCGGGCACTCAGAGATATCGTGTAGTACCGCACTGCAGCCATACATTATGTTGCACTCTTATCTGTTTTTTCCATTGTACACGAGTAAAAGTCAATCCATTGGTGGACATTTTGATTTATCACTGCTGGACATTTTGAATAAACACCCAAACCACCCAAAGAAGGAATTCTACTCTCTGATGCCCTGTCTCAGTCCTGTCACAAGGTGTTATTGCACCGTGCAAACCGTAGTATGTACTGCATCACGCAATTGGTTTCCACACACAGCCTTTTCCCTGACAATAATCACAATCAAATTGGAAACTTCCGCAAATTTGGTAAAGTGCGTGCCCACACGCATTCCTGAAAAACATGTCCCCTGGAACTCAGACCCGTTTATCCCGGTTCGTCCAGAGTTCGCCTCGCCAGGGACATTCGCGCTGTGATCTCCTAGTGAGGCTAGGTGCTGGCTGGTGGGCCACGCTTTCGGTCAGAGCTGCGGGCCGGATTCACAGACCCCTGACGAGTCTGCGAGATCAGACGGGAGCTTATTAGCCAAGGAGAAAGAAAATCTAGTTTATACGAGGAAATTATTGCGTTTAAACGCAATAGCTTATTTGTCAACAACATTGCGTACGATTTTAATATCTTGCTTTATATATGCAATAATAATGTCCCGTGCAAAGTAGCATTGACCTTAACAACAGAACAATATCGTTAAGCTCCTCTTGTTGGATAAAAAATAATAATTTAAAGGAATATGCTATTCTTGATGTGAAACTGCATAAACGTGTCCTGTACATGGGTTTTACCGACTCTTTAAACGTTGAACAGAGTACATTTACGATGATTACGAATACGCCAAATTTGATCGGACTTAAAGTTAAGGTGTATCACCAAATTAAAATACCTGATCAAACTTATTGAGACGACGTTGCAGTGACCAAGGGGGACCGTCTCACGAAACACTTAGCCCCCGTGCCACCGGTGGAGGCAGATTAAACGGCAAATTTGAAAATAAAATATATACATTGATTTTTTAAAAATGACAGAAAAAATATCGAGGATTCTTTTCTCAAGAGTGATGAAAAAGAACGTAGATTTAACCTTCCAACAAGACAAAAAACTAAATGAAATTCAAAATACTTTATTCATCCCCAAGGTGTCAGTGTAAGACAGACGATAAAAAAAGACTTGAAGACAGTCCAGCAGGCAATACTCCTGGGCTAAACACATACAAGACCTCACTCCATAAATTCTCCAATACAAACATAAAGGAATAGCCAACTGAACTACATCCAAGCGACAAGATTAATAAGATAAATT